TTTGCTTTATATTTGTTCTCAAAATTAAAATGCCAGAGGCACAGACTTAGGACAAGGGAGACAATATTTATCAGGTATTAAAATGACTCAGACAAGTTTAACAGAAGGTAAAGTCAAAGTGAGTCATGCACATGGTGCATTCTCCAATAAAGCAGATTAGGTTTTAGGCAGCATTAATTTAACAAAAGAGGTGATAATCCAAACCTGGAATTGTGTTAATCAAACCACACCTGGAAATCTGGATTTATTTGAGAATGACATAGCTGTCTTGTGATGAATACTGTGATAAATAACTAGAAATTAGAAATAGAGATTTCTTTTTTAGAACCAACCCCCAAGGCTAGTCTGGCTTTAGTAACTGATGCAAAGGACAAACTTGAGTATAAAGGTTTTAAGATTAGTGCTCAATCAGCAAACAAAAGAAGAACAAGGAACATGGACATGCATGAGGTGAAAATACATGTTAACTGGATGAAGTAATTCTTGCTCCCTAGCCACACCCTCTCCAAAGATGCAGACCAAGGACATGAGTCAAAAGCTCACTGTTCTTTGGGAGAAAGAAGAAGTGTTATTGCAGAAGGGTCCACTTTATTATCATGCATGGCAATTCTTTTTTTCTTGGCTTTTTGAGACAGGGTCTCCCTGCAGCCCCAGCTGACCTGGAACTCACTATGTAGACCAGGCTGGCCTTGAACTCACAGAGATCTGCTTGCCTCTGCCTCTGCCTCCTGAATGCTGGGAGTAAAAGTGTGCACTGGGCTCATGCATGGCAATTCTTGCTGTACTAGTGACCGACCTCTGAATTACCTACTACTATGCCTCTTGGAGCATACAGGCATGCATTAACACACAATGGAATGTATGCCCTGGTAGTAGAAATCACTGGAGATATTTTAGGCTGTATAAAAAGGACACTAAAAGACTAACAGTATCTAAATCACAGCTATGTGGGAGAATAATTATCATGGTCTTCTAATATCTCAAGGGATCAAATAAGGCCCTTAAAATTCAGAGGTCTTGTTTGTAAACTATTTTATTCATATTTTTAATTTGTGTGTGTGTGTGTGTGTGTGTGTGTATGTGTGTGTGTGTCCATATGAGTGCAATTCCTAAAGCAGTCAGAAAAGAGGGCATTGGAACCCTTGCAGCTGTAGTTGCAAGTGGTTGTGAATGGCCCCATGTAGCTGCTGGGACCAAACAAAGGCCCTCGAAAGAGCAGTAGGAACTCTTAACCCCTGAGCCATCTCTCCAAAGAGACTTTTAATGATCCAGTTTTTTCTTTTCTTTCCTTTCTCTTTCTTTCCCAGAATCCCCTCTGGTTTCCTTCCCCCTTTCCCTCTCTCCTTCCTTCCTAATTTCTGTCTTCTTCCTTTCTTTCAAGACAGTATCTCAATTACAAGTTCTAGGATTATAGGCCTGCTCAGCTAATGGTTTAGTTTTCTGAACAAAGCCCTGTCACAGAAAGGAGTTTTCCATGACTAAATGTGAATAAACATAAGAATAGAGACTGTATGACTCTATAATAGACATGCTATTTAGGCAATCAAGCATTAGATGGGTGTTCGGGGCAGTTTTAAATCTCTTATGATAACGAATTTCCACGGTTCATTTTTGCATTACATAAGCATTTACTCAATTATCAGCTACATACTCAACACCATCCTAAAACTGAGGATGTATGAGAGAATAAAAACAAGTCAATTTCTCACAAATCTGAAATCTGAAGGAAAATGACAATATATTAATAAACTAGGAATAATAAAATGTCAGGCACTAGCAAAGATTGTAAAGGAAAATAAAGCAGGATGTGGAGACTGACAGCAAAGGAGAAGATGGATAGGAAGGTCAGGAAAAGCATCTCTGGCCAAGGAGCTCACCTCTTCATTAAATATCCCTGTATCTTCAGTTCCAGAGCCTTTTTAAGGCACTTATTTTTCTTCCACATGTTACTTGCCATCCAGATACTTAACTCTTTAACCCCTACTCCCTGAATAACTTCAATTTCTACACTCAGCAGAACTTAGTGGTAAAACTATTAGAGAAAACTTTTAAATCTATGTCAACACTTGTGGTTTTACTTAGAAATATATGTGGATGTATTTATGCACTTTGCTATCAGCACACTTCTCTTTCCCCAACCAAACCTTTCTAATATTTCGTTCAGCTCCGTTCTTATGATCGTAAGTCATTTAAGTAAAAGGGACACATTTATCCACCTATACCTCCTGTCCATCTCAAGAAAGATTTATTTCACCCTCATCTATGCCATTTTCTTCATTTGGTGAAAAAAATTAAAATGCTGATATTTATTTTGGAATTTATATCCCATGACTTAGCAGTCAAAATACACTGATTTTTTTAAAAATATTTTATTATTTTAATTTTATGTGTATGAATATATTGCCTGCATGTGTGTAAGTGTACCTGTATCATGCAATGCCCATGGGCATCAGATGCCCCCTGGAACTGGAATTACAGATGGTTGTTAGCCACCATGTGGGTGGTGGGACTCGAACCAGGGTCTTCTGCAAGAGCAGCCACTGATCTTAACTGCTAAGCCAAGTCTTCAGCCCCAAAATACACTGATATTAACATCTAGACAAATCTGCTATTTGGCAAAGGAAATACATAAAGTATTGTTTTTGCATAAGCATCAAAGCTAAGAGGAAGACGAAACTATTCGATTATAGATCCAAATTATACACAAACATAAACGGCTTAAGGAATTGAAGGCTGTTCTTTTTGTTTGTTTATCTAGAGTGCAAGTTTATTTAGAGGATCATTTGAAAAGATGAGTAGAAGAAACAGTTTTCCATCTTATACAAAACTAATGTGCCAACAAGTTACTGTTTTAATTCTGTAATCATAGATTCATAAAGCCATATATTGCCATAAGGTAAAAATTACCTTAGAAATCTATTTTCCTGGTTTCTAAGCAATCAAAAACCATCTTAGACAAACAATTTTAGCAAAGTGAAGTTAATATTTGCTTCCACAATCAAAAAGTAAATGGATTGATTCGCATACAGATGGAAGAACAGGCATGATGCTTACTTCCATGTTGTTCCTGGGTATGCTGAAATCACAGAAAAAAAATTAAAGAAAAATTGCAGTGCTAAAAAAATAACGAGATTTCAATGGTAGTTTAAGAAAATACTAGCAAGAAAAGGCAGATGGGATCACCTGAAAAGACAGAGTAGGGTTAGAATATCTCAATATACCCTAAGAAGAAGTCAGAAAATCACGAGATTCTAAAGGATAACTACAACATGCAAGTGTCCACTATGCAAAACTACTAGAGAACTTACAGAACTACAGTGCCAAAAGCAAGACCTCTTCCTTTTATTCTCTTACAAATGGTGATTTTAGGTCTTGCTATTTTGACTCAATACCAAACCCAACAATCTTACACATACCTGCACAGGTATGTGCCTCAAGTCTCTGGAACACAACACTGATGTATTTCCCAAACAACTGTTAAAGGGCCTAGATAAATAAGACAACCTAGTGACAAAGGAATTTTCAAACAAAAGGGGTTTAACAACAATCCGTGAGGGTATCAAGTAGGAAAATTAAGTCCTATTTTCCTGACTCCCTGGGATATACTCGCTTGAGCAAGTATATGGAGGATTTGGGGGTTCACATGTTCAGGATATGCATGTCTATATCCCAGAAAGAAATAAAAATTGTTACTCACATGTAATATATCCATACCACTGTAGAGCAGTCAGCAATAATAAAGGAAGAGAATACTGACATTTATACCACCAGAAAACTCATTTCCTAGAACAGAAAACAGGTAGTCAGGCTTTATAAAGTTGAAAAATTTAGAGAACAATGCTGGGGGGAGGGTAGGATCTCCCCATACTACACAATTTCACTTCTATAGAATTCTGAAAATGACAAAATTCCATAAATGGAGTAGCTTCAACGGGAGGATAAAAACACACCAAAGTTTAAGATTTCACCCTGAAGAAAATTATGGTAAAGGGAACATGGGGGGGTCTCTCTGTATTATTCTCTACGATGCACCATGGTGTTTTCTGTTAATTATTGCTTGGAAATCTTGAGCTGAAGATCAGACCCCAGGTTAAGGTCTACCTTTGACAATGGCATTCTTCCCAAAATGGAGACATTCTTCAAATGTTACACGTACAAGACTGGCTCACAACAAACACCAAATGAGCAATGAAGAAAACCAACTAGAAATGGGAATGTATACAAGGGCTAGAGAGAAAGGCCTGGTGGTTAAAAGCACTGACTGCTCTTGCAAAGGACCCTAGGTTCCCAACACACACTGATGGCTACCAACCACCCATAACCCCAGTTCCAGGGGATCCAACACCCTCTTTGGACTTCAGTGGGCACTGCATGATATGGGCATAATTACATACCTGCAGGAAAAACATTAAAAACATTCATACACATAAAATAATGATATCTATATAGATACCTAGATGATAGATGATAGATAGATAGATAGATAGATGATAGATAGATAGATAGATAGATAG